ACCAAAATGAGAAGTTGTTGCGAGTCCAACAATTGCAGACTGCAGAGCTCCAGCAATCTTCGGGGGAAATTAACACAAGCTGCTAATAGCAGCATCCAATTCCACCGGCGCCTTGGAGGGATCAGTGGTGGGGGAAGGTAGGAAATCATCTTTAGATGAAACAATTACCTATCAGCTGCGTGACAACTGCAGGACGTCACCAGGCAGATGCAGACGCATGAAGCTTAGAAGCAAAAAGGAAAACGCAAAGAAGCTTCCTCCAATTCTGCTATCGCAAAGGATCAAACCCAAAGCATGGTCACAAGTGGCAATTCCACCTCCAGCTGCTCTCCTGGCTTTGCACAGGGTGGGACTGTGTTTTCCTTCTTCCCCTCTGGCTTGCAGGGCAGTGTTCATGCTATGGGAATCCATCCATGCCTGCAGGAGGGCTGTGCTGTGCCTCTGCTCCTGACCTGCATAAACCACCCAGCCCGCAGCTCAGACAGGGATAACCACGTCTCCTCTGGCACGCATCTCACAACAGGAGGGAAGGAGGCTACGGATGCCCTGAGATGCCTTTGAAGTGACAGAAACCTGCTTTATGCCCTTTATTTCCACTTATAAAACAAAGCCCTACAAGCCCCTAGCTAAATGTAGCCTTGCCTCCTTCGGTATGCACCAGAGGATCTCACGTCCCTCTCCCACTAAAGTATCCAGATCCAAACATCCACCCACACCATATATAACCTCTTTGCAGGCTGTAAAAATGGGAAGCTTTAATTGACACTATATTTCAAACTGTTGTGAAGCAAGGACATACTCCAGGCTCAGTCCTCTGGGGTATCTTTCCCCAGCCCTGCCTCCCCTGCAAGCAGCTCCCAATGCTGTATCTTTAGTTTTTGAATGATTACTTATAAGGGGAGAAAAAACCCAACTGTTGAATGTACAGAGCCCAGTGCCTCACATATTCACATAAAGAGTTTTATGGATCACATGGAGGGGCTCTCTTTCTTTTCTTCCCCCCTTTTGACACTAAAGGGTCCTCTAAATAATACTTTGCATTTCCATATCCTCATAAAAGCCACTACTATCCTTTCTATAAATCTAAGCCATCTCTGAAATCAATGATGCCATCTGCTCAGCACAGGCAGAGGGTGCCCCTAAATGTGATGCCCTGGAGCAGCAGAAGGAAGAGGATGCTCCAACCATTGCATCCCAAAAGAAGGGTTAGAGCCATCAGCCCATTTCTCAGAGGTAGGATGTCCCCATTCTTCCCCACCAGCAAAAAGCAGGGATGCTTCTGCAAAGCTTTCCTGGATTTGGCCACCCCATGAAGGCAGAGGAGCTGGACAAACCAGGCAGGAATTGCTCAAAGGGGAGAGGAGCTGCAGGGGGACACCCCATCAAGTGAACAAATGGAAGAAAATGAACTGAGAGAGAGAAATAAGGGCAATATAGACAGGCTGGTTATTAACACTGCTGCTTGGAATATATTCCCCCAGCTTTTGCTGCCAGTTGGTTTCTGGTCCCAGTTCTTTCCCTCCTCTTTCCCATCCTGTGACTCCAGCGGCCTTAGGAGGCTTCTTTCTCTAGCTTCATTGCTTGCTGCAGAGGGGAAAGTTGCTTTTCTCCAAAGCTAGAGGCATTTGGTGGGTCTTCCCCCTGCACCCCTCCTTTTCCCAACTTGGCATTGGCTCCTGGCTCAATGCAGCTTACTGGCATCTATTTAACATTCCCTTCAATGATGAGTTTTCATCTGCTAGGAGAGGGAATTCTTTCAACCTCTGTGTTTGCCTTTTCCTGCAGAGGTTGTTGGGAGCTGCTCTGCTTTAGGATTTTTCCTTGGCTATTGAAATACCACATTTCAAAAAGGAATTGAGAAGGCATCCACCCTTCTCTTGCATGGGAGCACCTTCTGTGAATGCACCATTCCTGGCTTCTCAGAGTCTGCGTGATCATCATGCGAAATACAAAAGAGAACAGCTCCAGGAACCAGATATTTAAGTGCAAGGCAACATTCATGAACATGGTGCACACCACTAGGTATGTGAGAGGCTGGTTTAGGACTGATTCTTCCCTGTGAGGGTGTTTGAGGCACAGGGTGCCCAGAGAAGCTGTGGCTGCCCCATCCCTGGCAGTGCTCAAGGCCAGGTTGGACACAGGGGCTTGGAGCAACCTGCTCTAGTGGAAGGTGTCCCTGCCTGTGGCAGGGGTTGGAACTGGAGGAGCTTTAAGGTCCCTTCCAACACAAACCAGTCTGGGATTCTATGACCAAAGCCCCCATCCTCATCCAGGCCAAAGACATCAGGGGAATGCCCACACCAACCCCCTTTTGCATCCAGGCAAAAGCAGGTTTAAATCCACCCAGGACACCCTCAGGGAGTAACAAGTCCCCTCTTTTCCACCAACATTAAGACTCCGGGTGCCAAGCCTTTGCAAACACAACCAGCCATGTTTTTCCTGGGTATCATTAAGATTTCCCAGCCCAGCTTGGTTCTGTGATGCCTTTAAATGTTTTATAGTATTTTGCTGCCAGTTGGGATTTGTTGCTATTCAAAAAGAAGGGACAAGTTTAAGAGCTTCTCTCTTCCCAGGCGAGGAACTCTGCCATCGCATAAAGTGATGAGATCTTAGTGAAAGTGATAGCCACTGCAAAGTGTACTTGGCTGCTTCTGGGTGAAGAATTTGACTGTTTCTCATAAAAAATACTAAAAAAGTTCTTGCAGTTTGTAATTATATTTTACAGTTTCATCACAAAGCTCATTTTAATTCTTCTCCAAACCGGTTTTACCAGTCCTCTCGCCACTTTCTCTTCAGCAAAGTCATTAAGTCGGGACTGGAGATCATCCCATTTCCCCCAGTTTCAAGGATATTAATCTGTTTTAGTGGTGTTTCATTGTCATTTCCATTCGAGTGTTCTCCCTATTTGCATAATTTGCGTTGCCACCCCTTTCCCAGTGACAAGCATAGGCTCAGCTTTCCATGTTCAATTCCACACAGTTGCATTGTGTTATTTTGTATTTTGAGGACATGCCGTCTTCACTGGGCCAGGAGCAGGATGCCGATGTCTTATCTCCATCACTGCCTTCCCAGATAACCTCCAGCAAGTACCAAAACCAGTTGTGAACTCCCAGTCCAAGCAAGAAACTAGCCAGCACCCATCTCAAAGGGACATGAGTTGACAGTGGAGCAATCTCCTTTCCCCACTGTAAAAGGAGTTTCCGTTTCCAGCTACTCAGAATAACAATTTGACTCTTTAGAACACTTATATGGACAACTCTTACAGTTTTTAGAAGCAGGTCAAGGTGTAGACAAGTCCTTTGTTTCAAGTTAAGGCTTTTTCATATCTTCACTCCACTGACGTTCAGTTCCTCCAACCTGAGACCACAATGTAGATGGTCACCTCCTCTCCCCTTTAAGGGTCAAGCTTTGATAGCCCATCTACCCAGAGACTGGGTTGCAATTTCCACAGTCAGTGGCTCAGGAGCATCCTCAGGGATCAGAGCAGAAGCAACCCTGCACATCAGCATGGGGGCATCGACCAACTGCACACAACACCCATCCCATAAGACACTTACGATCCCCATCACACATAGTGATGCAGATGCTTCTCTGCATCACTAGGTGCAGACAAAGAAGTGGGGTTAACAAGGCAGTGGTGGAGCTGGGGAGATCACATGCTCCATCACTGTTCCAGTGCACATAACATCCCACAAATGCATATCAAAGCCAAGAAGAAACCACTCTTAGCAGGACTATACCCCACTTCAAAGACACTGGTGGGACCCTTACCACCATGGGGTGATGGTTTAAGCCCCTCTCCATCACCCCTGGCTGCTGCCATGCCTCCGCACCTCTTTAACCATCCACTTCTCCCCAAAGTATTAATCCCCCCAATACGGGTCCCCCATCCCAGCCCCAAAGCGGGGGCTTTACAGGAGTTGGCCATGCCAGGACACCCCAGCAGCTACAGTGATGCACCAGCTCCATGCAGCACGTTTCTGGCAGAGAAGAAGTGTCCCCTCCACATGCCCCAAGCAGCGAGATGAGTGCAGGAGCTGAGGAATTGGAACCGACTGAATAATGGCTCCTGTCTGCTGGAAGAAAATGAAATTTGCCCTCATGTTACCGAAAACTTGCACTTGACGCTCACTGCACATTATAAAGTAAAGGTCAGTGAAACACAACAAACGCGAGGAGCCAGGTTGGAGAAAGCAATAAATAGTGACAGCAGCCCTCGTCTAATTGTTCAAAGCATCTCTGCTTTGGCTCAAACCCTAGCAATTTCCCTCCACACTGCTGCAAGGGGCTGGGATGAGCAGCTTGGCTGCTGCAGGACAGGAGGATGTCTGTTTATTCAGGGCTTGTCAGAGAGTTTGGAAGAAAACAGGAACATCCAGCAGACACAATTAGTAGTAGGCATAGTAGTAATGATGATAATAAGGTGCTGCTACAGAGATTTTGGCCTCAGGCTCATATAATAAAATGATGATGATGATGATGATGATAATAATAATAATAATAATAATAATATTTTGGCCTCAGGCTTGCGTAATAAATAAAAGAATAATAATATTAATCATAATGATAATAATAGATTTATTAGTAGTAATAGTGATAGGACAAGGGGTGATGGGTTCAAATTGAAACAGGGGAAGTTCAGGTTAGATATAAAGTTCCCTGTGAGGGTGCTGAGGCGCTCCACAGGGTACCCAGAGAAGTGGTAAATGCTCCATCCCTGGCAGTGTTCAAGTCTGGGTTGGACAGAGCCTTGGGTGACATGGTCTAGTGTGAGGTGCCCCTGCCCATGGCAGGGATGATCTTAAGGTCCTTTCTAACCCAAACCAGTGCGTGAGTCAATGATTTAGATTTTGGCCTCAGGCTCACAGGTGTGCTTTGCTCCTCCAGGACGGGGGATCCCTGCAGCCAAACACAGCCAGGGCAATTCCCAAAAAGAGAGACTCCTCGTGTCCCAGACAGAGCCGGTGGGGAGCGGGGTCCGAGTCCCCTGAGGGTCTTACCATCCGCGATGAAGTGCTCGGGCACGTGAAGCGTCACCTTGACAGTGAGCGGGCAGGAGAGCTGGGAGCCGCACACCACGGCCAGGACACAGGAGCTCACCGCGATCAGGGTCAGCGCTGTCTTGTTGACGGGGCTCTTCATTGAACCTGGAAGGCAGAGAGAGGGGTTGGTAGGCAAAAGGTAAAGCGGTATCAGGGATGTGTGGATGCAGGGGAGTCCCAGCCCCGGGGAAGGCAGGGATTGAAAATGAAGACACAGCTCAGTAGCACTGGAAGAGCTCTTAAGGTCTGCAAACCCATCACACTGTTTTGCCTGGAGTTTAACATTCATGTTGTTTCACTGAGTTACATACATCTTAGGACTGTATTTTCCTCGAGGAGGGAAAAAAATCTGCTGAGAACCCTTCTCTCAGGGTGGGTGTACAGAGGGTGTACAGACCCCCTCTCTGGGAAGCCCTCCTCCCTGCAGCCATCCACCACCCCTGCCAGGCTCCCACAGCAAAGCCACGTCATTTCTCATCAGCCTTCGTTTATTTGGCAAATCTTCTCAAGTCACAGAAAATAATCAAACTAAATCTGAGAGCTGCCCAGACCGTGGCACCATTTGCTTTCCCTTAACACCAGGAGAAATGTACACCTGTAGATGCTATATAGCACTGCTGAATGCAGATATATATATATATGTTTAGTTGTCACAGAGGGACTACACCAAAGAACAAAGTGACCTACAGATCCAGGCACTTTTGATAGGCAGGAGATATTACAAATCAAGTTCTATTCTGTCAGGTGCAGAAGCTCACAACATCTCCTACAAAGCAGGTTGGTGTTTTCTGACACACAAAAGCCAGTGCCAAAGCAGGCACCCAGCCTGTGGACACCCACCATCCCTCATCTCGAAGGCCACGTGCCTGGCATAGAATCAGAGAACGGTTTGGGTTAGAAAGGACCTTAAGATCATCCAGTTCCAACCCCCTGCCATGGGCAGGGGTGCCTCACACTAGACCATGTTGCTTGAGGTTCTGTCCAACCTGGCCTTGAACACTGCCAGGGATGGGGCAGCCACGGCTTCTCCGGGCACCCTGTGCCAGTGCCTCAGCACCCTCACAGGGAAGAATTTCACATGAAGACTAAGGGATGCCTGCATCAAGGAATAATTCCATGAGGCTGGGGGGATCCCATCAGCTCAGGTCCTCTCAGACCTGCGCATTCAGCCAGGCTTGGTTGGTGGCTTCTATTTTATCTGGGGGGGTTTTGAAGCATTAGGTAAAAGTCAACAAGTCAATGAGGAGCTTGAGTGTCTGCAGGTCTAGAGAGGCCAGCAGCAGGTACAAACCCACCAGGAAACCCTCGTGGAGCAGTACAGCATTGAGATGACTGAATCCCCCTCAGCTGCAGTTGGGTGGGACAGAGCAGCCTCCAGACTCTGCAGGAATGGGGGTGAAGCTGGGCAACAGAGTCATTGAAAGAGACCTGGCTGCCCCTGGAGATTGGGATGCTCTTGTTGGACAGAAGTGCCCACATGTCTGACTGAGGCACCCTCCACTGATGGAGACAACCAGGAGAAACTGCCCCCAGGCTATCAACTGGTCTCCACTGCCCAGAAGGGAGCAAGCCTGGAGTCTGCATCCTTGGGGTACCGCTGGTCCCTCCCTGCTTAGCCTTCTCCAGACCTGGGGCTGCCCCCACTGCTGCTCCAACTGCACCTCAATCCCCATGGCCACTTAGTCCAACACCTCACACCAAGACTCCACTCTTCTCAAAGCTAACAACAGACACCTCTGAGAGAGACAGTTCCCTTCTCCAGTGCTTGGGATGACCATCAAAAACCACTTAGGGACTGTGGTGATAGCACAGAGAGGGCACTACCCCACAATTAACCCCAACCACTGCACAGTCTGTTACAGTGCAGCTGAGATGACCAATCTCCCAGCAGACCTGACCACATCCCTGCTCAGGATTCCAGCGAGGACACTTACTGACTCTTGGAAGCTGATCCAGCCTCTCCTCCCTTGCTCCCTGGCCTTTACCACCTTTTCAGCAAAGCAAGATGTAAAAAGCATCAGACTGGAGACTGAATGGGAAATACATCCAGCAAGATAGCACTTGCACACCATGTAATGTGACCAAAGCTGCTATAGAAACAGTGGTGCCAGAGCAGGGTCCTCACACTTGGCACAACCTACATTTTCCAGTCACAGCATGACCTGACCCACCAAAGCATCCCCTGCTGCAGGATGGAGCTTGCACCAGCCTATTCAAACCAGCATCTGCAAGACAGGAGAAGTGGCTGTTCTGCTGGAAAATACCCCCCTCACTGCGATACAGGAGTATGCAAATTCATTATTTATGAAGCATCTTTTACTGTCCTTATGCATGCATCATGTAAACAGCTTTCCCACCCCTCTTTCACAGCTTTATCGCCGACCTCCTGTGCCCTTCACCTTGAGATCTCCCTTTCTCTTTCCTTCCCAATCTTTATTTAAATTAGCAGCATAAGTTAGCACCTCCTTGGGAAGCAAACTCATTGAGCAGACTGTGCCTGCCACAAACGCTGTGCTTGCTTGGAGCTACTACACAAATGCTAAAAGGCAAAAGAGGTGGGAAAAAGGAAAAGAAAAAGCAAGGAAAAAAGCCTCCATTGGGATAAGTGGACACAGGCAAGTGTACAATAGAGCAGAGAACACTGGGTTTTACCATTATAAATTACCTTTCAATCCAGGGTATTAAAGCACTTTGCAAACATTAAATCATAAATCCCTTAGGAGTTAGACGAGTATTATCCCCTCTTCACAAAGAGCCTGAATCACAGGTACGATGGCGGCTTTCACCATCCTGCAGCCAGAGTGGAGCTGGAGGAATCAGGATCTGGGAGTTCAGTCCACATGGCTGCTTCTTTCCCCATGACTAAGAGGAGAGGGGCACAGGAGCTTGGAACAGCAAAAAGCTCATTACAGCTCAATGAGTTTGAGCTTGGCTGCCCAAGGAAAGGGACAATGTGCTATAAAGTCACCTATAACCACCTTCCCGTTCTCCCCTGCCTCCTGCACCCGACTTGTTTCCATCACAGCACTAATTACTGACCTCCAGAACTGCCCAACATTGGCTTTGACCAACTGAACCAAAGCAACGGGTCTTCTACTTGAGCAGAAATTGGATTTCCAGCTCAGCTCTTCACTGCTCACGGCCAGTTTGCTGCCAGGTTTGAAGGAAGGCTGCTGGAAAAGCAGATCCTTCCCTCGTTTGTTAAAGAGAAGGACATGGCTCCCATTTTCCATCCCATTGCCTGCTCTTCAGACCACTGATGCTCCAGCAGAAGCACTGCTGTGCTGCGTTTAAAAACCCATCTGGAGATAAACAGCTTCATGCTAGGCCTCTAAAACCATGAGCAAATATATTCTTAGCTAACCAAACCAACCTCAGCAGGTTCAACAGGGCTTCATGTTCCTGTTAGAGGCGAGACAAAATGATCCATCCCTTCCTCAGCCCAGGGAGGGGATCCAAACCCAGCTCAGTAACTCGGGTAGCACCACACGAACCACTACACTGCACACAGAAGCCCTACCTTCTTGAAGCCTGCTCCTTCCCTCCTCTCCTTGTCACGTCCAGGCTTCCAGTGAGGTGTTTAAAGTGCAGATTTGCAAACCAAAGAAGCTGGCATCACCTCCTTTACTAGAACAAGAGAGCCAAATGGAGAATGCAAGGCCTTCATGGACAGCTGACGTGACTCAGAAGCCCCTAGAGCCTCATCATCCCATCTTTGGCTCTTGTGGGGTCCAAAAACCCAAGAGGAAGAAGGTGACCAGGCACGCATGAGACCAAACTCACTTCCTGTATGTCTCTGCTCTGATAAATCCTTCATCTATTGAGATGATCTACCTTTTTAATGAAGCATGTTTTTGTTGCATTTTGGATGGTTACAACCAAGTAAGTGTGTGCCCAAGTGCTCAGCGGGGAAAGCAATGGCCTGGGGAGCCTGTGCCCAAGGACCGGGCAGAGCAGCAGGACACACAAGGATGATGGAGAAGAAGAACTTACTCCTTTCCAACAGGGAGAAGTCACCTTTTCCTCCCAACCAGTGAGAGCAAAGGAGAAAGAAACAGAAAGCAATGCAAACTGCTTTGTTTTAGGGCAGAATCATACCTGAGACACTTCCCGCTAGTGATCCAATTAACAGCAGCTTAATTAGATGGGGAGACAAGAGGAGTAGCCAGGACTGTGATCAGAGGGGTTCCTGCCACCACCACCTTTCCCACCTAGGATTTCTGCTCCTCCCTTTCAACACCAGAGCCAATGAGCCTGGCTTCAGCCTCACGGAGAGGACATGGATCCCTCAGCAGCCAGCTTGGTGCTTGCAAAGCACCACATCTCCCTGAAGATTCTGCACCCGCTGCATGATGAAGATAAATCCAAAGGCACTGGTGTAAACACTCTGCAAACAGCCCCTCCAAACACACCTCGTCTCCTTGGAAATATCATCTCCTATTGCAGTTAATTAACTCACTGCTTTGTACACTTTCCCTTGCTCACCTAAGGACAAGGAGGGAGAAGAAAACACATCAAAACTCCAAGCTCGCTTCTTTTTAATACTAAATTTAGGAAGGAAAAAAACCCGCTCTGTTCAGAACACGTATGGATTTACAAGCAACACAAATATCCTGTGCTCTGGGTAATGTGATGTTTCTAAATCAGGCTCATAAATACATGCTTGGGAGATTAGTCCATAAGAAAAAATGCACTTTAATTACCCCATCTTTATCAGTACACAGCCCATGGTGTTAGCCATATGTGGGTGTTAAACGCCAAGTGCTTTGCAATCTTCCCCATCCCTCTGGAGATAATAGCAATAATAGGGAATGTTTTGCGGCTACTCGGATATTAAAATGTATTTCCACTACCCAAGGAGGACAGAGCAGGGGAACGGAGAGTGCCTGAACTGCTTAGCAACGTGTGGAGCAGCTGCCCAGCCGCCGTGCCACGTTGCATGCGAAATGTCCTGGTGCAGGGTGAGGAGCACCCACGGCATCCCTGGGGAGCAGCGAGCCCACCGCAGCCCGTCTCACACCCCTGCATCCTTCCCCGTGTTGCTGGCATGTCACCGTATCAGGAGAGCTCCTAATGATCCTTCTTTATGTTCCAGCAGAGGCTCA